GAATAGTCTGTAATTTTTTCAAGTAGTTCTTAACATATTGCATTTGCCTTACAACCTCCTTAATCAAAGTAATTTCCTCTATTTTCTACTTTATTATTAATTAATAATACTTTATTAATAATACTTTGATTAAGGTATTTCCCTTCGAAATAAATCAATTTTGGAGACGAAAAACGGCAGGAATTAAGTTTAACACCTAATACAATCTGTTTATCAAATATTGATTAAATGATTTAAAAATTAAAACGTCAAACTGTAAATGGTAATTCTCCGTTAATTGCAGCCGCTACTTTTTTATTTTTCAAGATTGTCACATGATCACCTTCAATATAATGTACTTTTACCACACCTTGAGTTACCTTAAATAATTACATACATCATTAAGAAAAGCTTTCGTTAAATTTGATTTATTCTATACAAACTATAATAAATTTTTTTAAATACCTTATACAAACCGTAATCCTCTTCGATCATTGGTATATTAAACGAGGATGTACATTTTACCAATGTTATGGGAGATTTAATAGGCAGCAAAGTAAAAGGATCATATTCTCGGAGAGCGGATAAATGTTTGTAAATCGTTGTACATAGTGTCTTTAAATTTGAAAGTGAGAGATATGTATGTATAACTGAGAATTGTTTAGCGAAAATATTAAATCTTTTATCCCAACTCTCACATTTCTTTAATTCCATTAAAATCTACGAAAATATAAAAATTTTTGTTTTTTTGCATACAAGACTGCGAGACAGAACGAAAGAATTGATATTGATTCACATAAAAACATCGAAAAATAATATAAGTATACCGTAAATTAGTTTCAATGTAAGTTCAAAACAAAAGTTGCATATACCTTTTGAGAACTTCCTGCTGAATAGATTTCCAGAATATTAGTTAATATATCAATCTGAAAATTTGCATCATCAAAATCTGATTCAAAAAATTTTAACATTGTTTGTAAAGGTTCAGGAGCACCGTCGATAAGAACAAGTCGGCCTTTAAAATTCATAACTTCTAATTTTCTTGTTACTTCAATTGCAATAATAGATCCGAAGGAATACCCTACTATTATAAAATCTTTTCCGTCTGTTAACTTCGAAAGTATGTGCTGTAAAAATATCCAAAATATTCGATGAAATTTATATCTTTTAAATGCAAACAATATTTTATCAATATAAAATGAAATTACTAATACGATTGCATACGTTTGTGAAACGATTAGTAGTTTCCATTATCACGTTTGTATAATCCATGTTGTTTGCGTTATAATGCAACAATGATGTTGAAAATTTAATATATGGTATTATGGTTTTAAATATGGTACCACATCCATCAATACCCGGAATAAGAAGTACTTCAGTCATAGTGTTCTGTTTGTTAGTCAAAAATTCAATTGGGGAAACAAAATCTTCATCTTTTAATGCAATGCCAGCAAAAAATTTTATAACGTCTGACTTCTCTTTGCCCAGTTTCTCTTCATCTTTCACATCATTGTCATTGATGATTGCACCGGACATCTTAATGAGTTTTGCGAAAGTGAGATTTCGTATCTCTTGTGCCGTGACAAATGTATCAAATTCTCGTTCCAGAACTTGCTTGATTTCTATGGCCATCATAGAGTCCACTCCAAATTCGACCAAAGATGAATTTGGACTTACAAGCTTTATGTCACTTATATCTACAATATAGAATGTAAAATTATTACGATCTATAGTATAATGTTTTTTTGTGAACCGGACTAGCAAACAAATATGATAAGTATTTGCAAAAGAAAAAGTCTCCATAGGAGCACCTACTTAAAATATTAGCAACTGTTTCTATCAGACTTCCTTGATATCTCATTTTTTTTTCAGCTACAACCATGCTGCACACAATGGGCCGATTTTGAAGTAGAAACTTATCGAGTTCCTCGAGACAGCAAGATATCTTTTGCTGTAGAGTGCCTCCGATAATTAATTCCTTATCGTCCTCCTGCATGTCGGCGACAAGACCCACATCACTCACACCTCCCCACTGAATCGCCAATCCTGGTAATCCTTCCCCCGCTCTCTTCTCGCAAATTCTTTCCATGATAGAGTTGGCCATGCCATAATTAGTCTGCCCAGCGTTTCCTCTGCCACAGGAAATGGAAGAAAACACCACAAAATGTCGCAGATTAGGACAGATTTTCCTAGAAAGTTTGTCCAACATTTGCGTTGCACGAGCCTTCGATTGGAAGGACTCTGCAAATGTTTCTGCGGATTGGTTCTTGAAGACGCCATCCTTCAGTACCACTCCAAGGTTGAATATCGCGTCCACCGGTGCTTTTTTTTCCACAGTTCGTAAGAGATATTCGCAATCTTTAAGATCAGCAACATCGATATTCTTGATGATCGCAACTTTTGCGCCATACGACTTCCATAATCGAACTTTCATGCATTGGTAACCGTTTTTTATTCCATTTCGGGAAATCAGAATGATGTTCCTAGCGCCACGAAATATAAGCCAGTCGGTTAACTCTAAACCAAATCCGCCCAAACCACCTAATATAATATAACTCCTATCTCTGAGACAATAATAACGACGATACGCGAGAATGTGCTTATCCAAAGGTTCATCCTTCTCATGGACATTTATTATTATCTATAAAAATAATTATATTTCAAAAATGCATGTTATATGTGAATAATATATTATTCAAGGTTGTTATTTATGAATGAACCTTTCTAACACTATTCGTTAACACAAGCATACCTTTCCCATATGTTTTCCACTCGCCATATATCTAAAAGCTTCTTTAATATTAGATTTTGGAAAAATTTTTGCTTGAATTGGTTTGATTGTTTCATTTTTTAGACCATCGTCTACCATTTTTTTCAGTGTATGCTTCCACTTACTATCATAAGTTCTTAACATCAAATTTTCCATTCTAATACTGTGAAAACTGATACCCTTTTGAAATGCAAACATACTTAGGAGATTATTAGAAACAAGGTCAAATTTGCCAATCTCCATGAATCGACCGTTTTGAGCTAAACACCGAACGGAGGCGATTAATTTTTCTTCCGCCAATGAATTTAATACAATGTCGACACCGCAACCTTTCGTTTGACACATAATCATTTGTTCGAAACTTGTATCTCGAGAATTTCCAATATGATCATCCGGTATGATCGGAAACATTTTTTTAATGAAATTCCGTTTGTCATTTGTGCCGACGGTAGTGAATACCTCGCATCCTTCTTTAAGAGCGACATGAATAGCTGCTTGTCCAACGCCTCCAGTACCAGAATGTATAAGTATTTTATCACCTTTTTTTATTTTCCCATGAACGTATAAAGATAAATAGACCGTGCTGTATACCACTGGGACCGTCGCTGCTTCTTCGAATGTCCACACATCGGGTATATTCCAACAAAGTTTTTCATCTTTCTCAACAATGTTTGCTATGCAACTAAAAAGAGAAACTTTTATTTGTTGTCCATTTTATGTCATCACAGTGTAATAATTTCTTCTAGCATTACTTACTCAGTATCACGAATTCCCATTACACGTTGTCCGTTAACATCAAAACCCACATATTCCATTCCAAGAGGAAGAGACTGAAATAACCGTCCTTTTAAAATATCCTCTTGAGATGTTAATTTACCGGTGGCGAGCATTATATCTTTAAAATTCAGAGATGAGTAAACAACGTTCACTAAATCCTCACGACGAGACATGACAGATAAATTATTTTCTATCCAACGAAATGTATTCAAGTCACCACGAACCTACGACAAAACAAAACTTGTATTATGACATAACATACATAAAACAGAATTTTAAAAAAAAATTTCGTGATAGTATTCAATTCTCCGTCTGTCAAGCAGAATTTTTCGATTAATAGACTATAATATTATAATGTAGGGACGCACCGGATATCCGAAAAGTATATGATATTCGATATTATCCGGTACTTTTTTATTATCCGACCGGATAGTCGGATATTATTAGTATCCGGAAATATATTCGGTTGAAATTTTATATTGAAAGTTTGCATCATTGATGCAGACTTCTATTCTCTTCAACTGAACTTCATACATCATGCTACTGACGAGATACTATTAAGGGGATGCTAAACCGATTACCCAACTTAATCAAGGTCGATAGTACAGACTTTTTTAATTCCAATTTCGACAATAGTGGTGACATTTTTGATTTAGTTTTATGTTAATGACATTATATTATATAATACAAATCATTCTGTCTTACTCAAATACATACATCTGTTCTTATCTAACATATGCCAGCACCATCTATCGCAAGACCGCGCAACTACTGCTACACGGAATTTTGGCTCTGTTAACAGTCCCAGTCTTCGCAAAACACCTGTATACACGTATTTTCTATTCGGTGGAAATATTTCTTTTCTAGACTTTCAATCTTAGTTCTA